AAAAAAAAAAAAAAAAAAAAAAGAAAGAAAGAAATATTCGAGGCAAATAAATACGAAGATAACTCTGTGTGGATTTAAATTAAATTATCCACGCAAGAGGCTTGATCGATGGTATTTTTTTCTCGAAGAAACGGCATCTTAACTCAGATACATATACATATAGTGTGTGTATGTATGTGTATATATATATATGTTTCGTAACTGCAATTTTACCCGATACGATTTCCCTTATTACGAATTAAAAAATCGACGAGAGGAACAAGAAAACGTTTAATTTCCTGTTTTCCTCGTCGATAATTTATCCTTTATCGATACGTAAGATTTACGAAATGCACACAGTTGCTTTTCCAATTGAAAAACGAATCACACTCTCGTTACAATCGAACGTTCTCTTACAACGAAAAAACTAACGTAACCACGAGTGGAGTGCGCGCGAGCGAAGGACGCACCGGAAATGGCGCGAACCCGGTGTACACAGGCGAAGGAAGAGGCGAAGGATGACAGGAACATCGGATCGGATCGTATCAAGAAGTGGGTCGAGAGTTCACGAGCCGCATAATTAAATTCTACGACGAAGAAAGCGTTTTCCCATTCGTTTCGTGACCACCATCACTTTTGCACGGACCTATGGTTGTTGGACAACCGTATTCGAAATCGTCTGATCATTATTTTGCATTTAACATGCGTGCATCTTTGCAGGTTTGCGGATTTATCTGCAGTGAGCGCCTGTTGACCAGCAAAACGAACAGCAAAAAGGTTACGCTCGAAACGCGAGGAATCTACACGAGGACGATGGTCGACAGTTACTTTTCTTCCTGATATTCTCCTCTTGGAGATCAGCAATGGACGATCTAACGGGTGCCTTCGAGGATACATTCGATAACCGAGACACGCGTCTTACTCGTGTTACGTAATATAATACGTAAAAATAGGCAGAAAAAAGAATCGTGCGAATTAATGATGTCTCCTGTTAATGTTATGTTAATGGTCCGTATCTCACGAGTTTCGTAGAATCACGGTTCATTGACGTTGCTCGGGCGAATTTTGAAATATTTTTATCGCGTCTTTGGCTCGCTCGAATACCGTTGACGCGAAGTTGTAAAAGTAGAGCGATAGATTATTTAACAGATTTAAAGTGAAAATGAAATATCGCTGCTTCCTGTGCTCTAAAAACGAAACGGGTTCGACGAGAATACGCGGAAATTGGTTATGAGATATCCGTTCCGAGGCTTGAATTGGTTAGTCGTATTATTGAACGAGATATTCGAGTGAAATTTTCCTTACGGAAAAACGGATATTTCGACGAAATAAAGGGAAATTTTATCCGATTAATCCATGCAGAATCTTGCAGAGATTTGCGTTTAAACGGAAGAAAATTAAAAAAAATTATTCGAGAATCCGACAACTTTTCCTTTAGTTATATTTGTTCAAGCATAAGTAATATTTGTATTCCTTGAAATGCACGCATCGTTTATTATTCAATCTAATAGACGGCTAGTCGATGAAGATATCAGTAGAATACAAATAGAAATTTTAACAAGATTTGGTACCATCGATTCGTACTTAACACGCATCGTACGAATCGATCGATCTCGAATTAGAACTTGGACGATTACGCCACGAGTTTGACGACAATGTACAAACAATCTTTTCGCAACGAGATTTACAAACTAGGTTTATCGTGAAGCGAAGAGGAGGGAAGAAAAAAAAAAAAAAGAAAAAGAATAAAACAACGAAATATCAAAATATCAAAATATCAAAAAACTTATTGCGCCACGCTAATTACGAAGAAGAAAGGAACCGGGCCAAAATAGAACGATCGTTTTACGATCGACTTAAAACTTGAGATTTGTGAAATCATCCGATGACTCGAGGCACCGTATGTGTACCAAGAGTCTAGGTCTAGGACGCAAGTTGGGATGGCTATCGTGACGAGCCAGAGAAGAAGAACGTTTCGCAACCGTTTGGATCGTCCAAATTCGGCTATTCCAGGAGGCAGAGGGTCGAGGAATCGGACGAGGATGAGGCTAGGTGTATCGTTCGTCGGAGAGAGAGAGAGACGAACACAATTGAAAGGACAGAGGGGTGGCGCGGAGAGGGAGGGGAAGAGAGAATCGTCTCACAGCTGAATTACTCTCACTCGAGAGGCCCCCGTCTCTTCTTCTACGTGGGGGCTTCAAGTATCCCCCTGCTTCTCGTGGAGTATAAAGGACCCTGGTCTACCTTGCACAGAGTCACAGAACAGAGCGGCATCGCAGAAGCCGACATGAATCCTCTGATCGCGGTAAGCACGATAAATTCTCTTAAATATTATCCCGAGTCGGAGAGAAAATAAGCGAAAGAGAGAAAGAGAGATAGAGAGCGAGTGTGGAGAGTGTGCATGGACTAAGTGTAGATTATCTTTTCGAAAAGTGAAACCTGCGGGATCCTCAGTTTAAAAGTGATCGGTGTCCTCGATTTCCGTCAAACGTGTCAATCCATCTATCCATTATTATCCCGAAATTCTAACAATCTTTTCTTTTTAGGATTATCGATACCTACTCGATCGATTATTTTATCCCATAGCAGCACGTATTCGAATTTCCACGTTAAAGATGCCTTGATATCTTGCTGCTTTCCCTCTCGATCGTGCGACTTCTCTTTCCTTACCAATCACGCTTCGATGATCGTAACGGTTTCGAATTTTCTTTTGCTCGTCTGGATCCAAATGCTTTTCGGACTACTTACTCACTTACTTTCTCGCAGGGATTACGTTTCACTTTTTCACAAACCTTTTACTTATCGTAATATCTTTTCTTTCTTCTCTCTCTCTTCCAGTGTATGATAGTCGGTCTAGCAGGGTTCGCCCTCGCGGAGCCACCGTCCGGCTACAGCTACAGCAGACCATCAGGGGGTGGTTATTCCTTCGGTGGTG